TTCAACTGTACATATAGCCTACTCAACTTACGACCAAATCGTGTTACGACTGGTCCGCAGTCCCGACCGTGGTCGTAAGTCGAGCACTAGCTGTACAGGTAAACTTGTGTCACGGGGGTTTGTTGTACAGATTATTTCATCACCCAGGTATGAAGCCTAGTGCCCATTAGTTATTTTCCTGATTGTCTCCCTCCTCCGACCCTCCACCCTTCACCCTGTCAGAGGCCGCAGTCTGTGTTTTTCCCCGTAATGGGTCCATGTGTTCTCATCATTTAGCTACCACTTGTCAGTGAGAACATGTAGCAGCTTTGTTACTTCTTAAGAGCAGTTGTGTTACTGGTCATGATTGTGACAATACTAGCTAAGCTTCGTTGAGCAGTTACTCTGTGCCAGGGAACCCCTGCAGTATTTCCATGCAGGTGTGCTTATTTGATCCTATAGCAACACTATAAAGAATGCTTTGTTATCTAACCCCATTTTATAGGTAAGAAAACTGAGTCACTTAGCAGGTACTGAAGAAAGGTTAGCTTATTATGGCTGGGCATGGTGGCTCACGCCTGTAATCCCAGCACTTTGGGAGGCCAAGGTGGGAGGATTGCTTGAGCCCACCAGTTGGAGGCTGCAGTGAGTTGATTGTACCACTGCACTCCAGTCTGGGTGACAAAGTGAGACCCTGTCTTGAAAGAAAGAGAGAGAGAGAAGAGGAAGAGAGGGGAGGGGAGGGGGCTGGGTGTGGTGGCTTATGCCTGTAATCCAGGCACTTTGGAGGCCAAGACGGGTGGATCACCTCAGGCGGGCGAATCACCTGAGGTTGGGAGTTCAAGACCAGCCTGACCAACATGGTGAAACCCCGTCTTAAAAAAAAAAGAAAAAAGATATATAAGAGAGGGGAAGGGAGGGAGGCAGGAAGGGAGGAAGGAAGGGAATAAGAGAGAGAGGAAGCAAGGAGGAAGGAAAGGAAGAGAGAGAAAGAAAGAGAGAGAGAAAAAGCCCTCCAGTCTGGGTGAGAAACTGAGACCCTTTCTCAAAAAAAAAGAAAAGGGAAGGAAGAAGAGAGAGAGAGAAGGCAGCAGTCTGGGCGACAAAGTGAGACCCTGTCTCAAAAAAAAGAAAAGGAAGAAAGGAAGGAGAGAAAAGGAGAGAGAAAGAAATTAAGAAAGGGAGAGAGAAAGACGTTAGTTTATTGTTATTTTTAACTACAGCATATAATTGAGACTCATTCATTAAATTGTGCTCAGTGTATCTAATGGGCTCACTGGACAGTCGTTAAGAAGGTCACCTGGTAGCCCTCTCAGAAGCTCTAGGCAGGACACTCGGTAGATTTCTCCCTTCTGAGGGGGCGTCTCACTTATATTCCCAGGGAGGCCACTTCTGTGCGGATGGCTATTTCTGTAGTCACTCGCTTTTTTTTGCTCCCTGACGACTATACCTTTTCCTAATTCCGTGAATTTCAAATCCACCTTCATCATTGTGTGGCCATAGCCCTAAGCCTTTGGATGTCTGTCTACAACCCTATTAGTTGAGGGAACTGTGGCCATCTGTCGAGGGACCAATTGGTTCTTCTCCACATCTTCCCACCGCACAAGCCCCCACCACCTTGAATGAGCCACTGTGAATTCAGCACAACACATGCTATAAGTATGGCTTTATATTACTAAAAATTGTATGTAATTTTTTTGTCGTACAAAGTATTATAAATTATGGCTTTCTATATGTTTGCATCTATGATATGTACATGTTATTTATAGATGTGTGTATACATATACCAATCTTGTCTCTCAAACCAGATTCTGAACTTGTTAAGGCCTGGAACCATGCTTTATGCTTCTTGGTAATCTTCAGGAGCACCAATGACAGTTTGGGGTGATAGTGTAAGCTCAGAAAATTCTTATTTTTGACCTATTAAAGCAATAGCCTCATTCCTCCACTTTGCAGTAAAACGGCTTCTGAGCACACAGTTTAAGGGCTACTCACTCCCGTGTCATCTTCCTGAATGGGTTCTCCCTGCCTTCTGGCTCCTGCAGCCCTCAAGAGCTTCTGGTTAGAACACTTCCCATTATTCTCTGAGCCACCGCAAACCCGTTTTACCACTTTGTCACCCTGTAGCAGCATTGAAAACGCTTGTAGTTTGGTAAGCTGACGCTGAAACCCCAAGACAAGCCTCCCTTCTCCCTTCTCCCTCCGCCCCATGTTTGATATCAGGCCCAGATAAGACTCTACCGCAGCTCCAGCCACCCGCACTCCTTAGCCGGAAACCAGGCTCTGCATCCATTGTGGAGGAAGATGCCTCTTGTAACGTACACCTTGGCAGAGAGGGTCAGGAATGTAGTCTTGAGAGGCAGGTAGTCAGGGTTCAAATCCCGGTTTCCTGGGTCCTTAGAAAAGAGACTTAACCCCTGTGAGCTTTGACTTCATTTGAAAAACTAGGGGTTTTAAAGATTGAATTGGAAAATCCATGTCAAGTGTGTGATAGTGCCTGGCATGTGGGATGAGCTCCTTGAGAGTGGCTGGGGTGCTGACCTCTAGCTGGTTGCCTGCTTGCATTGGGAAGGGAACTTGGATGAACTCTATGTCTGTCCTGGGCTAAGCAGTGTGCTGGGGAAGCCCTTCACGCCAGCCACCTCATTTCATTCTCTTCACCCCCTTTTTAGAGAAGTTTTTGTTCTGCCATATATTACAGATGAGGGCACTGGCAGGGTTGAAAATATGCCCAAAGCCACCCAGCTAGCAGGGTCAGGGCTGGGGCTGAAACGCAGGACTACTGGATTTTAAAGTTCATATCTCAATATCTCCCTTCTCCCCATCATCCCGGATCACTCCCTCCGCACTCCCAGAAAACATAAGGCCGCCTTTTCAGAGTCTAACGGGGATGCTATCCAGTCACTTCCATTTCTGTGCCTCCTCTCATGGCAGAACATGGAGAAAGGTACCGCTCATTCTTAAGGAATCTCCAGGATAACTTTGACCACATGCAATTTTCTCTTTCAGAAAATTTCTCTTTAGCAGCCAAAAGCTCTGTTTTTTCTTAAGAGCAGCTCTGTCACCTGCCATGATTGTGATGATCCCAGCTAAGCTTCCTTGGGCAGCTGAGCTACCCTGGGCCACGAATCCATATTAGTTCAATTCATAGTCAGGAACCTGTTTTAAAAGAGGGAGAAGATTGGTGAGGATTGAAAGTTGCCTCTTGGAAGAGGTTGCAAAGAAAAATCAAGATGAAAGTTTGGAACTTTGACCTGCGAGCTTCCTTGCAAGTAGGGAAGAGTGGAGACCTGGCATCTCGGCCCTATGGGAGGAGGGCAGTGCAGCGCCTCCCTATCAGGATGGGCACTGCCATGCCCAGGTAGGAGGTGTCTGAGCAGGACCAGAGTCGGCTGCTGTCCGCCTTTGCCCCACCTCTCTGTGTGGCTAGGGGGTGTGTGAATCTCTGAAGGCCTGAAGAGGGGACAGCTGAGGGATTTTAAAATCCTAAAACACATGCATCTCCCGTCCCAATAGCCCAATACACACACACACACACACACACACACACACACACACACACACACACACACACACACACTTTTCTTTCCCTTTAAAAAAAAAAATAGATTCATTCACCAAGTGCATAATGGTGACCCTTTGTTCTCCCCCACCCCCTCCCCACCCAGCTTCATCCCAAGAGTGTTCCCTGTCAGAGCTGCTCTCTGGAGCCAAATTCCAGAGGCCGGGTTGCTAAGGCCCTTGAAGACATCAGGTAGAGGCTGTCGGAGGCCCAGCAGACAAACCGCTTCTGTCTCATCCTGCCAGGGATTCGAAGCCATTCTCGCCCTCTTGGCAGAGGACAGCTGGGCACAGCCCCCTCCCCAGAGTCCCCAGCCCTCGGACACGCTCCAACAAACAGCGTCTCCTTGCACCCCCTATGCCCATCTGCAGCACAGCCACTGCTTGTCCTGGACACTGACGCTGGGGAACCTCCTTGCCACGGAGCATCTTCTAAGCTCCCTCAGACTAATTTTTCAGACTAAATCTGGGGCCAGTCCTTGCCGACCTGATAGGCCTGCCCAGGCCCGAGTCCTGGAAAGGAATAGACGGGCTATTTTTAGTGGGGAGACATAAACGGGGCTTTGTTTTCTCTCCACGGAGGCTGAAGTAGGGGAAGCTGCGTTGAGACCGAGCTCCCTGCCTCGCTCTCTCCTCTGCTCAGAGGCCCAGACCACGAGGCCGGGATGAAAACCCGCTTCTGCTCAGGATTCTCCATGAGGGTTATTTTTAGCCCAGGACAGTTTGGCCTGTAGCTGAAAACCACAAAGGAATGCCTGCGAGCAGTTTCTCATCCTGAAATAATGAGTTTGTGGTATTCCCGCAGACTGTAAAACTCCTTTTTCTTCACCTTGGACTGAAACCTCAGGCCTAGCCTTTGGCAAAAGGGTGATGTAGTTAAAATGCATCTCTTTTTTACATCACCAGGCCCTCCCAGCCTGGAGGACCCGGGGAAGTAATCAGGGAAGGCTTCCCATAAGAGCTGATGTTCAGAGGACACCGACTGCACGAGCAGTGTTGCTTCTGCAGCCACACACTGTGACACATTTAAACAGGGACCTTCTATGCCTTTTTATTCTTCATTCATTTATTTGAGACAGAGTCTTGTCCTGTCTCCCAGGCTGGAGTACAGTGGTGCAATCTTGGCTCACTGAAAAGAAGCTCACCCCTGCCTGTCTCTGTTTTGGTCTGACCTTCAGAAAACGATATCAGAATGCTTTTTCCCCCACCCCATCAAAATGAAGCTGTATGTAGGGCCTGGAGAAGCCAATAAGCTCTCCAGGCGAAGTGTTTTAATCCCTTATGCTTATACAGTAATTCGCAGTTCACCACAGAATTTTCCATCCTGTATTCCATTTGATGTTCCTGACAACTCCATGAACATGGGCCAGGCAGATAACGTTATCCAGGTTTTGTAGAGGAAGAAACTGAGGCTCTGTGTGCTTGAGAGATGAGCCCAGGGTCACCCTACTAATAGGTAATAGGGCTGGGAGTTTTTCCTCTTCCTATCTTCTTCTTCGTTGTGTTCATTAGCTCAACACATCTTATTAAAGACAGTGGTTCTTGACCAGCATGATTTTGCTCCCTTTCTCCCTCAAGGGACATATTTTTAGTTGGCACCATGCAGGGTGGGGGGTACCACCAGCATCTTGTGGGTTGAGGCCAGGGATGCTGCTAAACATCATACAGTACACAGGACGGCCTGCCCTCCCTCCAACAAAGAATGAGCGAAACATGTTCAACTCTGCCTCCTGCTCCCAAGCCTCCCCAAAGTCAAGTCAAAGATTCTACCACATAAATTACATATTATCACACAGTGTAATGACTGCAGTGTCACAGCTATGTGTGATGTATATGGGAAGCCCTAATGAGCCTGGAGGACCCAGGGAAGTAATCAGGGAAGGCTTCCCCTAAGAGCTGAAGTTGAGAGGACACTGACTTCACAAGCAGTGTTGCTTCTGCAGCCACACGCTGTGGCACACTGGCTGTTTAACAGGGACCTTCCGTGTCTTTCTTTTCATTTTCTTTTTCTTTTTCTTTCTTTCTTCCTTTTTTTTTTTTTAGACAGAGTCTTGCTCTGTCTCCCAGGCTGGAGTGGAGTGGCATGATCTTGGCTCACTGCAACCTCTGCTTCCCAGGTTCAAGCAATTCTCATGCCTCAGCCTCTTGAGCAGCTGGAATTACAGGAACGCGCCACCATGCCCAGCTAATTTTTGTATTTTTAGTAGAGACGGGGTTTCACCATGTTGCCCAGTTTAGTCTTAAACTCCTGGCCTCAAGTGATCCAGCTGCCTTGGCCTCCCAAAGTGCTGGGATTACAGGCATGAGCCACTGCACAGCCTGAGACCTTCTATGCCTCATTCCCACAAGTGGGGCCTATGGAGGAAGGGTTTGCAGGACAGAGGGAGGGGTCTTCTTAAGGTACCCAAGTCCTGTGGTACCTTAAGTCCAGGTTTTCCCCTTAAGTCCAAAACCTTAAGTCCAGGTTTTCCCCTGGGGAGATCCTGTCCCTCACCATGTCTAAGGCTGACCTTTCCCGTTAACTGTCTCCTAGAATCGATAAGAAAATGTCTGATGCTCAGGGCAGCTACAAACTGGATGAAGCTCAGGCTGTCTTGAGAGAAACAAAAGCCATCAAAAAGGCTATTACCTGTGGGGAAAAGGAAAAGCAAGATCTCATTAAGGTATGCAAGTTCCTGATGATGTGGGCACCATCTTGATTTTTCCTGATATTCCTGTATGCCAGTCTTATGCGGGCTATTTCCACATGGTACACACATCGCTGAGTTCTCATTATCAGTTTTCCTGGGGTTTTGGTTCCATTTCATAGAGGAGGACGTGGAGGCACAGAAGCATTAAGTGACTTGCATAAGGCCACACAGCTAGTGTAAGTGGCAGAGTTGTAATGGAAGCCTTCTGGCCTAGCCCAAAGGTCATATCCTTGCCACTAGTTCTAACCACCTGATTTATTTGTTCTTTATTTCTTAAACTTTTATTTTTTAATAGAGGGAGTCTTGCTATGTTGCTCAGGCTGGCCTTGAACTCCTGGGCTCAAGTAATTCTCCCACCTTAGCCTCCCAAAGCACTGGGATTACAGGCATGAGCCAGTGTACCTGGCCCCTGACTTATTTTTCAGAGAATCAAGTGGAGGGAGGTGGTTTCAACATCATGAGCCTTTGACATCAGAATGTAGCATCTCTATAAGCATTTCATTGTGTGTTCCGCCTCTATGCTGGGAACTGAACAAATTATAATAGATATTATGTAATGTGCCAGGTGATTGTGCCAAGCCCTTTGCATGCATCATGTCTCATCTCTTAAATCAACCCTAGTTTATCCCCATCCTACAGAAAAAGGCTGTACAACTCAGAGAGGAAGCTACAGCCATGATTCAAACCCATGAACCCCTGACTCACAAACCCATTCTCCTACCGCCTGTACGTATCACTTCCCTTCGCAGGAACCGCCTTGACCTCAGATGTTTCACTGGCAGATTAGGAGTCCTCAGAGACGCTATAAATGACTTAGTGAAGGAAGCTCTATACTGTATGACAAACAGAACAGTTTTGAAGTTCCTGCCCAGGACAGCAGCCCAGTGAAAACATTCAGATGAGGAGCCCATGGACAGTGAGGCGTGTTCCTGTTATCATGAGTGGTTAAGATCGCAGAGCCTTAAGCCAAATAGACCAGGCCCAAATCTTGGCTCGGTCAATTGCCAGCTTTTCATCAATATATTGGGGATAATCATAGGTCATTCTTTGCATGACTATTGTCAGGAATCAGTAAGACTCTGGTAAAGCTGACAGTTACTGAGTATGAGCTGTATTCCTTAGTGTTCTACACCTGTCATCTCATTTAATCAATATGATAGCCTTGTGAGATAGGACCTGTGATTCTTCCCTTTTTTTTTTTTTTCTTCAAGAAACAGGGTCTCTCTTTATCGCCCAGGTTGGAGACCAGTGGCAAAATCATAGCACTGCAGTGTCAAACTCCTGGGCTCAAGCAATCCTCCCACCTCAGCCTCCCGAGCAGTTGGAACTGTAGACATGCATCGCCACACCCAGCTCATTTCTTTTTTAGAGATGGGGGTTTCACTATGTTGCCCAGGCTGGTCTTGCATTCCTGGCCTCAAGTGATCCTCCCACCTCGGCCTCTCAAAGCACTGGGATTACAGGCATGAGCACCCAGCCGTTCATTCCCATTTTACAAGACTGGAAATTGAGGCAAAGAGAGGTTATTCAGCTAGGTTAAGTCACACTGGGAAGCAGCAGAACAAGGGTTCCAACTAGGGCATATGGCTCCAGAGTCGGCATCCACACCAGTTTCTCCCATGTCATAGGCCCAGCAAAGAGCCTGGCACACAGCAAGGACCCACTTACTGCCAGCTCTCTATCACAGGATCAGTAGGATGTCTGGGGAGGGCATGGGTTCCTAAATTAAGGGAGGTTACAGAGGAGAACGTGGCAGACCCAGAGCTCCCTCCTGGGAAGGCGCATTACTAACCCTGCTCTCCCCTCCTTTAGAGCCTTGCCATGTTGAAGGACGGCTTCCACACCGACAGGGGGTCTCACTCAGACCTGTGGTCCAGCAGCAGCTCTCTGGAGAGTTCGAGTTTTCCACTGCCGAAACAGTACCTGGACATGAGCTCCCAGACAGACATCTCGGGAAGCGTGAGTAGACAGGGCAGGCTGCTTGGGGCTTTCCACGGGACGGCAGCTGGGAGGCTGCTGTAACGGGCAGCTGCCTTCTCACTGCCCGCCAGGGAGCTGGCCAGCGGCTCTCTGCGGGGCTGGCTGCTGCCTCAGCCCTCTGGAGCTCTGTTCTCTTGCAGACCTCCTGGGGCCAGGAGAACATGATGCGATGCTGTGGAGGAATAGCCCGCACTGGCAGACACCTTGGCCCCAAGTATTGCCTGGTCAGGTGCTGTGTCTCTTAATGCTGCACAGAAAGCATGTTTAAAGGACAAAATGTCTTTCTCAGTTGTTTTTTTTTCATACCATTTTGCAGTTCCATTCCATTTTCCTTTCTCCAGCTGGACAGAAGGGGATATTTTCCTCCTGTTAGTCCCAAAACAATGCATGCAGCTTTCAGGCAGCTCCTTGACTTGCAGTTCCAAAGCTCAGCTCGGTCCTAGTTATGAATAGTGAAAGTGCTGTCCAGATGTAGGGAAAGGGTTGGAGTAGGGCTGACCGATGGTGCCTTGTAACTTTTGGAGAGCTTTTGTTTTACTAGAGCAAGCAACATTGAATGAATCCGCCTTCTATCCTCTGTGGCAGATAGCCTCTAAATGTTGTTCCTATGTGATTTCCATAGCTGTCTTCCCACTTGTCCATGGGTGACCGGTGAGCCTTATAGCTTCTTGCTGTTCTTGACAGATGGCACGGCAAAAGTGGCTCTCCCTTCTTTCCTTATACCACCATGTGCCCAGCTACAAACCACCTGTGGGCCAAAGTTTTGTAAAGGAACCGTACCCCTCTTTATGAGTTCTGGGGTCTTCTCCCCACGTACCCAGTATTTCACTCCTGACTGCAGCCTCTCTGAGTTTTATTTATTTATTTTTCTGAGATGGAGTCTTGCCCCATCACCCAGGCTGGAATGCAGTGGTGCAATCTCAGCTCACTGCAACTTCTGCCTCCCAGGTTCAAGCAATTCTCCTGCCTCAGCCTCCTAGTAGCTGGGATTACAGGTGCACAGCACTACACCCGGCTAAGTTTTTGTATCTTTTTTTTTTTTT